CTGATGGAAACAGTATTTGCCGTTTTTACCCTGATGCTTCGTGCGCTGCCTTGTTGATGCAAGAAACCAAACGCTTTCCTTTTCTGCAAGCAGTCCATGCTGATATGAGCTTTATTTGCGCAAGTTCTGTATTACAATTTTCCTTCCTCTGCAAGGGTATTTGAGCCTGTTCTGTCTTATTAAACCCTATTGCTTCTGCAAACAGTCCATGCTGACATGTAAGTTCTGTATTTCTAACCCTTCCTCTGCATTGGTATTTACGCCTGTTCTGTCTTATTATCTATCCTACTGCACCTCGGAGCAGACTTGAATTGGGTTCAGCGTGCGCCTGAATGCTGTATCGGGGTAGACCGCCAAGTAACTGAACGATAACAAGAGCGATAGCATTAGGTTCACAAGAATGGCTTCGCGGAACCATGGCCACTGTGCCCGGAGCCCTCCTCATCGACTCGACTTCGCAAACCGTTCCGTCCACATGTTTGCGGTGGTTTGGAAGGGCTGTAGGGCAGCGATGCCCTCGGATAGTTGCTCTCAATATGGTACCCCAGTATGACAATTCAGTTTGTTCCATGAAAAGCTGTAGATTGATAAAGAAGAAAAAACGAAAACGCCACAAAGCATGAAGAGATCCATCACGGCGTTTTCCAACAGCCCCACTTGGAAGATCTGCAGATGTGGCTGTCGCAAAGCGTGGAGCAAACCCAGCTGGAGTTTTTCAAGGTGGTCGAGTCAGACACTGCTCAGGTGTATTGTAGAAATCAGTAGCAAAATCTCACAGTGTCTTCCCTGTTCCAAAAACTGGTAGTAAGATTCCCAACTGACCCGCGGGTTACTGCTATTCCAAAGTTTAGACACTGCGAACTGCTTAAGTTTGACGCTCCAGAGCTTTGCAGTTGCAGCAGCAGCAGCACGGAGTTGTTGTGTGTTCAAGATCGCGGATGCTTCCTTTTGTTATGGTGTCCGCGCTGTGCTTGAGCGTAGTTGACTGTGTTCAATTGCGAGTCGGAGTTTGTGCGGCTTTTGCTCACCTTGCCAATGAACGTGCTTCTTCTGTCGCTGGTTTGCGCTGCGCTCGCCGGCAAGGAAGGCGACCAGGCTGGGGTTACCTTTATCATCAATCCCTTATTGATTGTTCTTTTTGTCAGGGCCCATGCAAAAAAGGCGAAACGGTCCGACTTTGGATCGCTCGCAGGCACAGATTGCTCTCAGAGACTGATTGCGCCATGACCAGGAGCAGGACAGGAACCGATGCCGTGCGGGCGCAAGTAGCTCTTCCGGACAGCTCCCGGTGCCGTCCCAGGTGAATGTTCCATGTTGCGCGTCGATAGATTGCGTGGCTGTGACGCATGGATCATGTTAGCTTGAAGGAACTCAACGAAACCTTCCTTTATGGATTTGCTACCGCGCTTACGCTTGAATCAGACTTGCAGGCGCCCCATGACACCTAAACGTTTTCTCCAGGCAGTTGCCGCTTTGGGATGGTTTGTGTTTTGCAGGCTGGTGCAGCAAATGTGGCGTTGCATGAAGACCCGTTCCTGCAGTCGATGGTGCAATTCGTGGACGACGCTGGCACTGTCCCCACCACGCAAGAGCACAACCTTCCCCACATCATGGAGCACATGCAGATGCTCCACGGTCAGCAATTGCAAGCCATCATGCACCTCCACCGCCAGCCTACACAGCAGATCGGGCGTGTCATGAATCAGCAACAGCAGCTCATTCAGCAAAGCATTTGCATGTTGCAGAACCAGGGGGCCAACATCCAGCAACTCCGCCACTATGGCTCAAGGAAGAACCGGGTCAAGCATTCGATCTTCAACCAGGCTGCGGCTGGCA